CCACAAAACCCCTGTCTGTAGGCAACCAACAATGCCCCCCCCCCCCCCCCCCCCTGTCAGCCGGACCTTAATCCGCTACTGCTTTTGAGAAAATTGTTACCAAATCACAAACCGAGGATAATCTTATTTTGGACTGCTCAAAAAATGAATATTTCAACTTCAACTTAGGCTGGAATATTACTGAAACATTACTTTAGAGCAACACAGCCCTTTCGGATATTAAGTTGTAATGAAGATTGGTTTATCAAAAGGGCGTACTGAATTTCTATTGGCGTGGAATCTCCCTGTACACTTTTACATGCTGATCAAGGACCAAGTAGAATGTGATGTGGTATGTTTATTTGTGGTATTGGGGACAGTTATATACATTGAAACATGTGCTTCTTTTTCTTTTAATCCTGAATTTTCTTTACCTTTTACTACACTTCAACCTCAAAAATGTCTTTTGGTGCTGTTTGATGTACTCTATTCTTATGTGGAATACATTAGGAATAAATAAGCAGATATTGATGTATATATAAGTACACTCTTTTCCTTGCATCACAATTTTTGCAATAGTGCACTAGAAGTCTATTTTCTAAGCATACCAATAACTTGTTCAGGTAACCAACTGATGTGAAAAAAGATAAGTCTTAAGAAAATTGAACTACACATATTATTGTTCTTGTGCCATATAATCAGCATCATGCTTCCAGTACAGAGATACCATTGCAGACCACCCGCCAGTGATGAATGTGATATTTGTGACCCCACTTGTGATGTCATTAGTCGTTTTGTTTCTATGTTGCAGTATTTGTAATTAAATCCTAGATTTACATTGAAACTGTAAACTAGTGTATTGTTTTGACTGCTTTTAAGTTGTGACCTGCACAGGGGCACCTCATGCTCGCGTTGTTAAAAATAAATTATGTTTATAAGAAGAAAGTAGCATGTGATGACTGTGAACCAGTTCGTATGATCTGCTCTGCTGCAGAGCCTTTCTATGGCTACTTTTACTTGGAATAATTTCATTGCTAAGGTTTTGAGCGTGGCAAATAAAAATAAAAAGCAGGGGAGGGGGATGGGGGGTACTGAATTTCAAAGTAATAAACTTGATCTAATTTGTTTTGTTTAGATAAAATCAAATAAAATGACAACCTTTGTATTGTAGCATCTCAAATCGTTTTACAACTCCAACTGTTCATAACAAAATATTTTTGATTGTTTTTAAATGATGACACAAAAAGCTGTGAAGCTGTAATGAAGTGCTGTGACATACTTAAGAGTTGTTCAAACCTATATTGAGAATCCTTTTTTCTCATGGTAATCATATAATTGAAACTGTTTTGATTTGAAGTTAAAAAGTACCATACTGAACTATTACTTTATCAGTAAATTTTTATTTTTTTGTATTTATTTGTTCACTTGGAACCACTTTTGTAGAATCACAACTTTGTTTGCACTTTGGAAACTTTGTTCTGTCCTAATTTTATCATTTAGGTTGTACTGAGTTGGAAGCTTTGGTTCTTCTATAATTTTGTACTGACTTTAAGAAGCCCTTTTACAAGATCTCTTTAGGAGGCTTTGCTCACTTTGTATGCCAATGAGGCCTTTCTGAAAACGATTTCCAATTGCCTGCACAAGGGAAAGTATTTATTAAAATTAAATCATCTAAAGAAGCAGTTCTATACTTTAGTTGCTGACTGATTATGGGCTGATAGTCCATCTGATAAATACATTGAGTAGTATGTGTCTTGATGGGCCATGACGAGTGATAGGTGCATTACATGATTAAATTATGGATTTTAGAGTTTAGTTTGAGTTGTCAGAAATGATAGTATGGTGATTCAGTCATAGGCTCCTTTTCATGCACTTTTATTTATTTTTCATCTATAGTATATTGTCTTGTGTAACCAAGAATGTGCTCTAAAATAATAAGATTTTGTATGAAATGTTTGATTTTCTTCACCTGTTTATTTACTTACATATTGCAATACAAAGAACAAATGGTATAAGACAGATTCTTTAGGATTTGAGTTTGTTTCATTACAAACATATTTTGAGATCACTTTTAAGGGCGGGAAAACTTATGATAAGTCTTTGGTCATACAATTAAATAGAATCAATACACTACACTAGGGAAAGTCTTTTGTCTCAGAGCATAAAATCACAAATCACAAACTGGATGGAAAAACTTTCCATCCTTTCTTTTTTTGTAGAAGACAGCATTTATGTCAAACCTGAAACACAATCAAATGTTAACAATGTTTTAGATGTGGAACTAAACTAGAAATATAAACCTGATCTTCAATACCATAGAAACCTCTTCTAAAATCACATATTAATTTCAGCTAAGAAAGTCGGTATGCTGAAACAGAACAAAAAATAAATGGAAGGAAGTATACCAAGATTTATTTAAAAAGATAACAATAACTTGAAAGCATGGAATTGAAAAAATCCCTAGGAAAGTAGGAAGACCATGAAGATGATGACATGGTGCGAAACAGCATGGTGATAACTTACATTCAATGCACCATATGAGTGAAGGAGAGTGAGAAGACAAACCCACAACATCAACAACGCACAATGCAACCACTAGCTGAATGCTGATGATGACATGGCAGCCAAACCACTCAACCAAACCATCACAGGTAACTTGATAGTTTAAAACTGGATCAACCACAAAACTCAGAAACCAACACCAGACTAGAAAAGTGCAGCAGCACCACTAGCAGGCAATTGATGGACAAGAAACTGTGCATCAAGCTTCACTTCACGCAAACAACTTATCTACAAACAACTTACTGTAAACCCCACTACAAATTTGAATCTTGGTTTAAAAAACAACCCAGAAAACAAAATTAACCTCTTCAAAGATTGATGGCAATGATTGATGGCAATTGATTGATTGATGGGACCGAAGGAGGAGTGCGATCAGTCTTCATAAAATATTCTTGAACAACAATCACACACATCTAGACTCTTGATGCGACAGAGTAACAAAGGAACACCTACAGCTTGTTCTTCGGTTTCCACCAAAAGGAAAGTCAAGTCCATTAAAGCCTACCTTTTACAACTAAGTGTAACAATATGGAGCCAGTCCTCTGAAGTCCTCATAAAATACTGTTAACTTAGACAAATACAAAAAATATATGTAAGTCACTAAGAAATTCATTTAACACCTGTAATTATTAACTTATGAAGGATGAAAACTGAAAATTAGGTGATAAATATAAAAATTTATCAGCACAAAGTGCAACACAAAGGATTTAATCAAAATGCCAGCTTCACTTTGGAAATATTTATTCAATCCATTGAATCATATTGGCAATCAACATACAAAGGGCAGATAGATAATAATATATAATATATATACATAGTGTATATGAATAATCCAAAATGAACCCTTTGTATTAACAGTGATAGAGAATAAAGAAGGGAATATACTAGGAAAACTATACTCTACTCATATCTTTCAAATCTTCCTTGAATTTAAATTAAAACACCAAAGGCTCCAAGGACTTAATGGAAACACACAGCAGACACGACAGAATCAAAAGACAAACTAACCTACCAATTGGTGAGCTTTTCCAGGAAGACCTAGAATCACTCATAAAAAATTGACATGATTGGTTCTGCAATCAAAATAAACAAAGTGCAGTAAATATTGAAATATTGAGTGAAGTTAAGGAAAAAGAAGAAACTGAGTGCGTGACATCCAACATATTCCCATCAATTATTTAAACCATAACAAACATAAAAAAAAAACAAGGAGTTGATTTGTCAAAAACATAAAAATCAGGTCAAGCAACCCTAATTTTTTACCCAGTGGACAAAAAAGCTGAGACAAAGGTAGAGAAAAAAACCTCAAATTTCCAGTCAAACAAAGAGAAATGAATAATATCGACGTGTGATGACAATAGGCCATAGCAGTCCAATGGCACCAAGTGAGTAGAACATCAATGTATACCAGAAACAATATTGTGCTGAAGAAATCAGATGATTAATTATGATTTGTAGGACCAATGACTCAAATGAAACTCAAACCGCATCAGCACCACTTGTTTTGAAAACAGCTAGGTGCTTTAGTAAGAGAATGATACCCATGTGCTGTGAGAGGTCAATACATTAAACCCACAACTTTAAGGAAAACAGTCAAATTTGGAGCGCAAAAAACCGTACTTTTACCTACGAATTACATGACTCTCTGCTGAGAGTATAAAATACGAAGTTCATAGAAATGTAATTGATTGATTGATTGGGGATTATAGGTAAAACCACACAAAACACCTGAGGCTGCAGGAAAATAAATCACGAAAACAAAGAGGGCCAAAGAAGCCAATCACTCTGTCAAGCTGAAACGAGGAAAAGAAAAATGCTGCTGTGAGAAGACTGAAGACGGCTTCTGAAACTTTGTAGTTCTAAGCACTCCAATTACCTCATTGATCAGGGGAAATGGTAAAGGAGCACATCAATAGTGCGCCCCTCGTGTCGAGTACGGTCAAAGTCGCCTGGAAATGGTGTTAAGGATGACACAAATTGTTTTTTGTTTGTTTTTTGTGTAAAATTGTGACAGCAAAATCCTTGAAAGGACGTAGACCAACCTCTTGTCGAAGAAAAGAGAAAAGCAAAATTTGAAAATAAGACCTTAAATATGTCCGATATCACAAATTACAAGCATGACCAAGCCATCTGTTCCAGAATGGGACAAAACGTGATGATAAACGAAACGTTAACCCCATGCAAAAGATAATAGGTACTATATGAGACACACAATGAAAGATGTCAATACCTAGTTATCAATTTAGAAAATATTGAAGGGAGTACACCACAATAAGCGAGATTTGCTATGAAGAATTCAATCAGCAAAGAGAAATTACGGGATAGGAGTGAAGCATCCCATAATAATTATAATACAAGATTGCAGGAGCAAAGGGAAAAAAAATTACTTTTGGAATAAATATAAAGAAGGCTAAGTACCTTTCAATTTAAAATTTTTTAAACACATGGTTCTTCCTTTACTTCTTTTTTGATCAGGAATCGGCAGTGGCCATCCCAGGTAAATATTCTATCCATGGGACTTTGCTGCTCCACCAGAACAGGTGTCAGTCCAAGCCTAAGCTGTACCTAAATTCCAAAATTGAAAAAGAAATTAAGCAAAAAAAAAAACAGCTTGTTGTGACACTGGACTATAATCAGGTTCAAAGTATGACTGTAACTTCAAATCAGTAATTTGTAAAAATAAATCAGAGTTCAAATATCCTTTCAAATAGTGTCTGCAGTAAAACAGGTAAGAAATTAACAGAAGATCCTAAGATCCACCCTAACTTTTTCTTCATTCAAAAAGAGATTGAACAAGGCCCATGCGCAAGTGCAACACAACAAAACTTTATACATGGTAATCATATCTATGGAACTATGAATACTCTGATTTATTTACTAATGTAAAAGCACTGATCACATGGCTTCAATTTGACAACTCTATAAAGGAGAAGAGGTCACAGCTCTGCAAAATCGCATTTTCAACCGACTGAGCCCGAGCCGACCGGGCCGCGGTCGGTACCAACCGGCTGCACAATAAGAGGTGAAGAGAGGAGCTCCCTGGCTGTCTCCCCTCATCTCTCACCTTGCAGCCGGTCGGTACCGACCGTGGCCCGCTCAGCTCGGTCGGTCGAAAAACGCGATTTTGCAGAGCTCTGGAAGAGGTCAATGTAAAACTTTGATTGGAATGACACACAAAAAGTGTGTTTTCAAATGAGATGTTTTTTAAGAAAGGATACGCACTGCTCGGTCAGCTTCCCAATCATTTTTAAACCGTATGAGGGCGGTGTCTTTTCCTGTCTGGACATCAACAATTTCGCCTGCTTCACGAAACTTGTCTACAAGCTGACGCCACTCAGTATTAGGGGGCAACTGCAAATAGATTAAAAACAGCAAGAAATAATTAAGATACAAATAAAGTGGCGGCTGAGAAGCAATTTTTTTAAAATTAACTTACATTTTTGACAACAATTGTATCACTCCGTTTACTGAAATTATTGTTGCCTTGTTGAATCATGCCTAAGTTTCCTCCTCTACCATTATTGCCTAATCCTCTTGATGCACCATTATTATAATTATTCTCCCGCATGTTCATGTTATCTCTTCTTTCAAAACCACTGCAAATATTTAAAAGAACAACTATAAATCAAGATTTTTCAAAGGCAGTTGTTAATTTGTCCAGAGTAAACTTACCTGAAACTTCCCGGATTATTACCACTCAAGGCAGCACTAATCGATTCAAAATTATTAACAAACCCAGTGTTTGAGTTTTGCATATTATTAGCATTTAATGAGTTTTGATTGTTACCAGAAGTCATAGCATTGAATGAACCTAAGCCTGAAAAGCAGAATAATAATAATTAATGAGGATGAAAATGTCCTACACTAAACTTCTGATGACAAATTATTGTCGTACCACTCTGACCAACACCGAGACCAGACGGCATGCCAACATTTAGAGAGAGACCAGACATCTGTGACTGGTTTGATGATCCAAATGGTTGGTTTGAATTTAGATTTGTAAGTTCCGGAACATTGAGCGATTGCCCAAGTATGCCACTCACATTACTCAGAGTTGGGGCCATTGGGTTGGGGCCTGCCAAAGGCAGGTTGCCAAGACCTTGATTTACTGCAGTGAAGGAGAAAGAAAAATGAAAATTTCAATTGTAAGTCAACAGTATGTAGTTTCAGAGCTTTGACATGTGTATGCCAGAATTCTTACCAAGTTGAGCTTGGGCAGCCGCTGTGGCTGCAGCCATTGCAGCTTGCAACTGCACATTGGTGGGAGCCACTTGCGGGGCATTATTATTGTTTGATTGATTAGTGTTAGGTAAGTTCCCTAGAAATAAACTTTGATTATTAATCTTGGTGACACAAAATATTTATTACAGTAGAAAAAGAGACTTACTCGGCACATCATGTAAAATAGTCCCATTAGGACCAAGGCCCAGGCCTATACTTTTAAGCCCTTCAGGGAGTTTGGGTGGACCCTCAGGCTTTTCAACTCTGTCCATACGAACTGTAAGTCTTCTATCAAACAATGTTTGATTGTGCAACAAGGCTGTTCAAATGCTGTTAAGGAGCAACTAAATTGTGTTTACTACAGCAAAGTAAAAAAAAAAAAAAACAACAAAAAAAGTTTGAACCCTAATTTATCAGTCAAGGATACAAATAGCTTGCACAGCTTCAACAGGGTGGTCATATTCAACAACCCCAAATCCTCTGCTCTTGCCATCCTTATCAAGGCTGATCTCGCAATCCACCACTTTTCCCGCTAATTTAAAAACTTCTCTTAACTTAGCTTGGTCTACCTTATAGTCAAGCTGTAATTTCCAATGTGCATGTTTAATAGAAAATATAACACAGGTGAGAAGTGATAAATAGATTGTCAATTATTGTTACAACCTACATTTGCAACAAAAACCTTGCAGACTAATGGACCATTCACCCACAAACTCTCTAAAAATGAAGTTGAAAGTCCGTAAGTATTTCCATACTTGGAATTGTTGCCACTATTGCTGCCACCACCCATTCCTCCTGACGGTGTGGATGGTAAATTAGAACTGTGGGGGGGATGTTGGTTGCTCCCATCCCAGGTTCCCCCTCTGCCCCCACCATCATCACGGCGGTGGTTCGAGCTACTGCTCCCACCTCCATCATCACCTCGGTTGGATCCTCTTGTAATGGGGCGTCCGTGCTTATCACGGATTACATCCGAATCCTAGTTCAATAGATCAACAAGTTATGAAAGATTTTCACACAAAAAGAAAATAATGAGATTTATTTTAATGGTCAAATTTACCTCTTTAACTACCAGTTTTCTTCCTTTGAGGTCAAAACGGTGCATTTTTTCAACAGCTCGTGCAGCAATTTCGGGTGTTTCAAATTCGACAATACCACAACCTCTAGGTTTATCATGCTCGTCCACAAAGAGTTCAACATAGGTCACTTCGCCAACTGCAAAATTTAATAAAAACCAAAATGAAGATTAACATGTTTTGGGATGTTATTTTAGGCAGCTCAATAAAAAGTCCTCTTCACCTTCTGCTCGAAATAGGTCTTTTATGTCCTGCCACTTGGACTCATAGGCAACATTGGACACATAAACTCGTCTGTCACCTTTCCGCCGATGTGAATCTCGTACGGGACTCCTGTCCCTTGTACTACTACTGAACCTCGATGGTCGGTCCCCTCGTCTGGAACGTTCCCTATCTCTACCCCTGTCAGGACTCCTGCTGGAAATTTAAAAAAAAGAACATGGTAAGAGCAAAGGATATGACTGGAAAGAGTTTAAATTTTTGTAAAATATGATAAATAACAAGGTTTTTGCTCTGAAACAAAGTGTGATCTGAGATAGTAGTGGGAAGTACAACAAACTATCCGAGAATAAGCCTGTCCTGTTAATTCATTCATAGATTTTACACAATCGTAAATTATCAATCAATGCCAATTCATGGTTTATCTTGACATAAGGTCTCCGCTAATTCTAAAGCGATCCTCTGAATGTAAAGACGCATATACTGCTGGTATCTACTGATACAGAAAAAAAAAAATTGCATAATGTTTCAAAGAAGGACAACCGAAATAAATATTTTTGAGAAAGACTGATGCTATGACCACGCAAGCCGGCAACGGAGCACTCCAGGTAAGCTATAGGCCATAAACAAACAGAGGTAAAAGCTATAACTTACTCCTTGTCGTCCATGGTAAGAAAGTCAGCAATCTAAAATGAAACAGGCGATAAAAAAAAACGTCGGCCAGAAGACTTCAAGAAAAGGCACGGCACTCAAAACAAGCCCAAACAAATCACCGACACCGACCCTAAACTCACGTATGAAACAAGTGAAAAACAATTCATATCACGTTGGACAAGGGATATTTCTCATTTGGCCAGAGTTTATTGTTTTGGTTCCAGTGACGTGTTTTAGCATGGTTTTAGTTTGTAAACAGAAGAGTTTGCATTTTCATTTTATGCACTTAATTAATAAAAAATACAAAAGAGCATCGAAAAGTCCAGAAAACAGTATGTGCATGTGTTAATGGACCTCACTGCTTGCTCTCTTGCTCTCACGCGTTTCTCGTGTCTTCTCTCTCTTCAGTTTTCTTTGTGTTCTTCTTCTGCTGGTTACTCTCTTCACGTCTGCTGCTTGCTGCTGCTGTATGCACATGTGGTGTCACCACATTTTGAAACATGCGTATTGAAACCTGTTATTTTTGCTCTTCGAAAATATATCCTGGTCATGGGATGCATTTTGTGAGAAATGACAGCAAGGTAAAAGCAGTTAATATCATTCCAAACGAATAATCGATTAGAATGCACATGTGGATTTAGTCAAGGCCGGAGGTTATGTTTTCTTTTTATGTTTCGGCTCTTTGCTTTCAATTCCAAACAAATCAAAATTAATTCTATTTGACAGTTTTTCCTCAGTTCGCTCATATTGTTCAATTACTATTTCTGTCTGCTATGGTCCTGTGAACTGAGGTTCCGTTAAGTTTCTCTGTGATTTGGCCTGTATTGTCATATTTACATCTCTTTACAGATTTTCAAATTTTGTCGCTCAAAATGCCACAGAGCCTTTAAGAAGAAGAAGAACCCAAGGAAGGTAGCATGGACTAAGGCTTATCGAAAGACTGCTGGGAAAGAGCTCTCTGTAGATCCATCATTTGAATTTGAAAAGAGGAGGAACGTCCCAGTCAAATATGATAGAGAATTCTGGATGAAATCATGTATGTATTGCTAGGTGTCACACAGTTCAGTGTTGATATGGTTGCTATTCTTTATCATTAATTTTTCTGTTCTGTTTGTTTATTTTTCAGTGGAAGCTATCAGAAAGATTGATATAATTAGACAGAGACGAGCTAATCACTTTGTTATGCAGCGGTTACGAAAAGCAAGAGAGCTGGAAATTCAACATGATGTGCGGGAAGTTCAGAGAGATATGGCTCTTATTAGGTCACCAGCAGCTGGCCTTAAAGAGAGAAGAGCACAGGAAGAGGGTATTGTTGAGGAAGTTCATGAATCTGACGATGAGATGGAGGTGACCAACGCCAGTGAGCACCTTGCTGAAGAAAGTGATATGGAGGAAGCTCTCGACTCTGATGAAGCTCCAGAATTGGTTGAGGTATCTTAAGTCTTTTTTCCAAAATTTATTGCAGTGTTAACTATCAAAAGTATTCTTTTGACATGTGAGAAATGTCTCAAACTTCATATTTAGAATAAATATGAAACATTATTTGCTTTCTATTTTGATCCCCCCATCCTGTTTCCTTGCCACTTTGTAGTAATGGCAGGTGGAGGCATTATTTTTCTCCTTTAATTTGCTTTTGCTCTCAATTTCTCAACTGTTAAGGATTATAGGGATAGAGTAGTCACAATTGTTTTGTTTTGTTTGGTTTAGTTTCTTTGAGAACACTCAAGGCAGTGATAAATCACAGTTTTTTTTTGCACACATTTCACTAATCAATGTTCTTTATAGAACAGAACAGTTAAAATTAATTGCTCCTGAACTTGTGCCAAAATATTGGCAAAGTTATGTAAACTTGAATTAATACATTTCAAGGTTTTACATTCTTTTTGGTGGCTTCACAGATTCTTTTAATTTTGTCAGCTTCTTGCTGCTCATTTTCTCCCTAAATACCCGCCTACATTCATCCATCCATACATGCACACACACTATTACAACGACTTCCACACATGCTGTGTCACTTACATTTTAATGAGATACTTCATTATAAGTGTACAGATTACATACTTGTAATTTCTTCATAAATAAGATGACTGAATTTGGCTTGCCATTTTACTAAAAATAACATGCGTATATTATCTAATCATTAAATGCAGGAAAGCGTATAACATACAATCTTTTGTAAAGTGCTAGGGGTGCCCAATGCCCTTATAATTTTTACAGTTCCAATATGAAACTAGGGTATATTTTCTTAAACAATTTTATCACAGAAGCTTAGATTAATGTTTGCTGGCCAAACACATCACAGTAGTCTTTCACATAGACAAATACTGTCTCCTGTCTGATAAAATATTACATTGTTGTTAATAGGAATGTTAAATTGTCCCATTTGGGCATCCCTAGAAAAGTTTGGCAAGAGAACTTGTCATTTGTATATGTATTTTAAGTTTCCACAATTATTTTGAGTCGTAGTATCAGAGGCTTTTCCCATTCTTTGTTGATTTGGGAGGCCGTTGGTCTTCCTTCAATTTCCAGGTGGAATATGCCTGAAGTCTTCAGACGTTGTCGGAAATGAAGAGCCCACACACCATGCTTACGAATCAGTTCAAACAATCCTTGGTCATTCCCATGTTTGATTTCATATGCAAAGTCATTCTGTAATCAGAAAAAAAAAAAAAAATTGACTACTGAGACAAATTATTGGATGGAAGACTGACCAACAGATTATGTATACCTTAATAGCAGGTTGTAGTTTCACTATTCTCATGCGGTGTTTGGTCTGGGCCAAATTTATCTTTACTTCACGGAACTCTCCAACTCCATGTTGGTGGCGTCTGGACCTTTTCAGTGGTAAAGATGACTGAAACAAATGAAAGAAATGTTGTTCAGTAAGCCAATCTTTTAAATATTTTTAGGGAAACTGTACTATCAGTCTGTTCATGTACCTGTTCTACGTTAACCCTCTCTTGCCAGAAGAACCTGTGTGCTGCCAGTGACGAATTCTTCGTGCGTAATTGCTCTAGATTGATTCCTCGTTTGCTACGTCCTCTTCCATTCTGAAAATTTAAAATAACTATGATGTGATGGTTGTGAAAATGAGTTGCGCTCCCAGCTGTGGACAATGAAGAACCTACCTTGCAGGAGAAGCAGCCCTCGGTTGAAATCAACTTTTCGTGAGGCACTTGGTATGGGTCATTTTGTGGGTCAATGGGGTAAGTTGGAACGCCAAGATCTGGGACGTGTGAGCCCAGATGGCTTATGGTCGATAAGCAGTGGCCCTATAAGAAGCAAGAACCGAGTCGTTAAGGCCACTGGACATCATCCATAAATGACTGGCAGCCGGCTGGCTGAGATCTCCAACACCCACCTGGCCGATGCTCTGATAACCGGTGGGACAGCCACACGAGAAGCCCCCGACGCCGACCGGTGAGCATCCGAAGGAGCAAGGGCTGCCGATGCAGACGGAGGCGGCCTGCAGGCACACGGCAGTGCCGCTGTCGTACTGGTAACCGTCGGGGCAGCCACACCGGAAGCTGCCCAGGGTGTTGATGCAGTTACCGCCCCCGCAGGGGCTGGTCCCGGATGAGCACTCGTTCTCGTCGACGCAGTCGTTGAAGTAGGCGTGCGGCACGAAGCCCTCGGGACAGCGACACCGGTAGCTCCCGATCAGGTTCTGAGGCAAAGCAACAAAGGGTAGTGCCCAAGGGGTCATCCAGTAAGTACGTCCGTCTTTCGCAGTTCCGAAACTGCCAAGTTTAGTCTCTGCAGGCGCTCCTAGTGCCTGTTAGGTAGGCAACATCTTGTCTGCAGTGCGTGCGTGTACTGCTGGCTGGCCTACCCCGAGTCTCGCAGGCGCTCAGCTCCCGAAACTCGCCGAATGAATTTGAGAAAAAAACGGCCGTACTTTCTGGACGATCACTAAGTTTGCGGCGGTGGTCGCAATGATGTCTATTTAAGCGGATGTGTAGGAGGATTCCCTCACCTGACAGCCGTGCTCGCACTTGGTGTCGTCGGCGCACTCGTCCTTGTCCGTGCAGAAGGTGCCGGTGCGGTCCAGCTTGAAGCCGCGCGGGCAGATGCACTTGAAGCTGCCGCGGGTGTTGATGCACGTGCCGGGCGACGGGCACACGCCGGGCTCGTCGCACTCGTCCACGTCGATGCAGCTGTCGCCCTCGCTGGTGAAGCCCTTCGGACACGAGCACGTGTAGCTGCCCGGCGTGTTGGCGCACTCGCTCTGGCAGCGGTGCTGGCCCGTGGCGCACTCGTCCAGGTCCACGCAGGACGAGCGGTCGGCGCCCAGGACGTAGCCCGCGGCGCAGCCGCACGTGAAGCTGCCTTCCGTGTTCTGGCAGGAGAACGCGCAGGGAGACGGCGACAGCTCGCATTCGTTGACGTCTGTGTGGGCGGCAGACGCGTCAGCGCTTACAAGTAGTACAAATGAAGCACACCCAAACTGCGGCGACGTAGGTCCCATGAAACTCACCGATGCAGTTCTTGCCATTGTGATCCTGCTTGTATCCCTTGTTACATATGCAGCGGTAGGATCCCATCGTGTTGATGCACCGGCCGTTCCTGCACAGGTCAGGGATGGTCGCGCACTCGTCAATGTCTGAAAAAAAATACAAAAAAAGAGTGCGTTGGTTACAATTGTCCCTCTCCTCCATATATTTGCCGGCGCCGCCGTATCATTCTCGTACTGACCCTGCCCGTCCTTGGTAATGCCGGTGTCGAGGCACAGCTCCTGGTACTCGAGCGAGGAGGGAGTAGGGCAGGCTTCGCACTGCGGGCCCCAGGCGGCGCCCATAGTGCAGCAGCAGTCCATCTTGGTGACGGGCATGAGGCTGTCCGTGCGCGAAGAGCACTGCCCGCCGATGAGCTGCTTGAAGCAGTAGCCCACCCTCACGTCTGGAGGAAACAAGAACGTTAGTTAGTTTCTCAAGATTCCTCCCTCTCTTCCCCTCTTCCTTGAATGAGACACCAGCTGGCTTACCCAGGCAGGACTTGCCGTCCGGACTCCTCCGGTAGCCCTCGAAGCAGTCGCAGCGGTACGAACCCTGCAGGTTGACGCAGTTGCCGTCGCGGCAGATGCCGGGCTTCGTGGAGCACTCGTCCACGTCGCGGCAGTCGTCCGAGGAGCCCACCTGGAAGCAGCAACAGATGGCTGAGTACAGCACCTGGCGCCACCGCCCGCCCGGCCGCACCCACCTGGCTGGCGCGCCCTTGCCTCACCTGCGTGTAGCCCTCGGGGCAGATGCACATGAACGTGCCGATCAGGTTCTTGCACTGGTACTTGCAGTTGTTGGCCGGCGTCGAGCACTCGTCGACATCTGGAAGCAAAGGCTCGTTGATGAGATCGAGAACGTGGCCCCGTCTCCGCTCAACATGCGCGTGGACGAACACCGGGGAAAAAGAGGAAGAAAAGAGCAGGACAACACTGCGCGTACGCACCTTCGCAGTGCCGGCCGTCGGGTGCGAGGGCGTACCCGTACGGGCAGAAGCAACGGAAAGAGCCCGGCACGTTGTGGCAGCGGAAGGCGCACTGGTTGCCCATCTCGCGGCATTCGTTCACGTCCTCGCAAACCTGCGGAACGATTTGCACACCCGCGATGAGAACCACTTTACTCCAAATGGTGACTGGTACAAAAGAGTGGCGCGACTTGGCAGGCGAGGAGCCCTCGAGTTTCTCTCGCAAAATCAGCGGGCGTGGGCAGCACCCACTGTGTGACCACCCTCCAACCCCTGCCAAGCTCCCCCTGAGCGTACCTGCATCGGGCCTGGCGCGAAGCCCTCGTTGCACGAGCACTCGAAGCTACCCTCCACGTTCGCGCACGTGCCGTTACCACATATGCCGCTTTGCGTCAAGCATTCATTTTCATCTGGAGATAGAACAGAGAGAAAAAAGAGTGAGTACAGGACACAGAAGGAGGAAGGCAAAAAAACACATTCACACGCTGCACACCTCTCGGCGGCGAGATGACACCTCTCAACAAACCGCCACCAGCCCGCCCACCACCGCCTCGCCTCTCCATGCCTTTTGTTCCCGATGCCGTGATGCAGCATCCCAGAATCACCCCCCACCCTTTCCCCCCTTTTCCCCAACCCTCAAAAAAACAAAACGAAAACTCCCCTCAAAGTTTTTCCTCATCCCGAAGCCTTTCCCCCAATGCGATAGCGCGGCCGCCGCGCGCGAATAAAAGAGAGACCGCGGCGGGTCTTTGTTTCATCATTCATAACGAAATGAATAAAAAGCGGCGCTGCAAAGGAGCGGCTGCTTCTGCTCATCATTCATAACTTAGCTCTCCGGCCCGGCGGAAGGAGGCTGCGTCCGGGGCGCACGACGGGGCGGGCACAACAAGGGCCCGTCCTCGTCGCACCCGCCGCCCGGGCCGCGCTCGCGAACGCGGCCCCCACAGCCTTGTGTGTATACATCACCCCGCCCCCGCCCCCGCGATGGCTCCGGATCATGGGAGTCACCCCGACCTCGCCGTGCGTGGGGGTCGTGCCCGCCCCCCGCT